GGCAGTACTGACACACAAATTCCTCCTGACTCTCCAGGATGCTGAAGTCCGCAGCTATCTTCATGTCAAAGACAGTGCGTCCCGAGGCTTTTGAGGAAGCCGCAGAGCCTTCTGGATGCATCAGTGACACTGAGGCTGAATTTAGCAGCAAAATAAGGCAGGGACTGAGGACACACGGACACTGCCAGCACCTTGTGCTGTGAGGTATTATATTTCTTATTACGGTTCAGAACACGGAAGAAGTCCTTGGTGTTCTGCTGAGAAACTTGGACTCCTTCCTCTGTGGTCACACAACTGTCACACGCCAGGCAGTCACTCAGAAATATCTTGGCATCGGCCAACTTATGGCATTCTCCCTTCTCTCCGTTCTCCTGAGCTGGACTCCGGACGTTGACTGCGGCATTCTCATGGTCGTTGGTTTTTTTTTTTTTTTTTTTTACTACATTCCTTCTGCGTGCAGTGATCACACTGCATCTGGAGCGGGGCAGGCAGGGGCCGGCTGGAGTGACTGGAGGAAGCACAGGGAGAGCAGTCAGTCACCGCTGGTCGCCCCTGGCGCTGCTGGCGGTATCCTTTCTTCCTTGTGGAGCGTCTAGGGAGGGGAAATGGCCGCAGTGCCTGAGGTCGAGTTCCAGGAGGACGGCAGCACTGTTGGGATCATGCAGGAGGCACTGGTCCGATGGTGCTTGGCCTGTCCTCTTCAGATTGAACCTTCAGGACTACTAAGGGATCTAGTCCAAGGGAGGGGAAGTGGCTGCAGTGCCCAAGGCCGAGTTCCAGGAGGCCAGCAGCGCTGTCAGGATCGTGCCAGTGGCGCTGGTCCATTGGTGCCTGGCCTGTCCTCTGGAGATTGAATTTACAGGACTACTAAGGAAGCCAGTCCCCAGTTCTGCCCCTCCTCCAACACCGATTGAAACCAAGAGGCCTGCCTTCCAGCTGCCTGCCAGTCCCCAGGCCACTCATTCCTGTTCCCTGTTAATCATCCCCTGATCAATGGGAGTCTGCAGGCCGGGGGAGGGACCAAGCAGTCTGGCTTCTGCCCGCCCCGATCAAAATGTCGCTGCTGCATGGATTCATTGGAGCCTGAGGGACCCTGGTTCCCCCATTAGTCATCCCCTGATCAATGGAGCCTGAGAGCTGGGGGGATGGATCCGTGGTCCCTGGGTTTTTATATATTAGGATTTTTTACTCTGATCTCTTTCCTACATTCCATACCTGCCTATCAACTCCTTACCCACACTCTCTACTTCAATATCAAATAGGCATCATAACCTTAAAATGCTCAAAACTAATCTAACCTCAACTCTTGCCTTCCATTGCAGCAGGGTTTTGTGGTCTTTCTGCTTCTGTCCTTGCAGAAATTGCAAAGCAACCCCCATTTTCATGCTTTGACTTTACTTATCTTCAAGCCACTTCCTTACCAACTGAATTGTTATAGTTTTGTTTGTTTGTTTTGTTTTTGCATTTCTTCCTCTATTTCAATCCGCATGAAAGTATCAGTTTTGTTGTATTCACTGCTATATCCCCAGTGCCCAGAACATTGTCAGGCAGATAATAACTTTATTTGTTGAATTAATGAATCAATTAATGTGTGTATATGACAGTGAGTGACAAAGGGAGTAGGTCCAGGTGGTAGTATTAGAAAAGGTGGTCAGAAAGGACTTTTCTGGATAATTCAGATTTCTCCTAGGCTTTGCATTAGTAGCTACAATAGTGCACAGGAAAGAATTAGGCATTGCAGAAATGATGTGCAAATATCAATTCCAAAAAATAAGACAAGAGGCCTTGTTACTTTGGGGTACCATGTGCCTTTCTTAGTCATATCCCTGCTCTAAAAGGTGCTATGACTCTGTAGCTCTCAAAAAACTTTACTACCAATGGTCCATTCGATACCCAGCTTGGCTTTGCTGAAAAAGTGTGTGTATTTTTCTGGGCAGATGATATTGGTGGTATTGTGGTAGGGAATCTAGTGTAAACAATAAAAAATTTATATAGTTTGTACTGCATTGATTCCTTTTCCTGCGCCAGTTAACCACTAAATATTTAAGTCTATATCCTCAAGACTCTTCCTATCTTTGCCATGGGAGAATGATGGGAGCTCAAAGAGCAGTGGTGTGCAGACTGCTGCTACTTGTGAGGATGAACATGTTGGCTTTTGCATGGGTTTTAGGTAGATCCACTTGATCCATAATGTTAGTCTTCACCCGCAGTGGAACTATTCAAAAATTTTTAATTGAGCTGAGACCTAGATGGTGATTGATTTTTAGTTTGGGAAGACAATATTATTATTGTTGTTATTTCATATCTGATAGTTGAAGATAGCACAATATTTTTTTCTTTGGGGGGAAAGGAACCTTGGTTTTTCTGCTATATTTTTTCTGGATAAATCTTAAAATCATTTTTTCCAATATTCTCAAGGTCATTATTGACCCATTGCTCTATTCTCTATTCAGTACTCAATTTTCTTTTTAATGGACTTTAAAAAAGAATTTGACACAATTGATATTTCCCTTTCCTTTATAAACATTCTTTTTTTTGGCTATTAGAGAAATAGTACTAGTAATATCTACACTAATAAAAGACAAAGATGCTAACTGACCATAACTTCGCTAGGCCCAAGCCACGCCCACCAGCCAATCAGAGCGACTATATGCAAATTAACCCAATCAAGATGGCAGCCGGCAGCCACTGAGTTGGAGCAAGCAGGAGGCTTGGTTGCCCTGGCAATGGAGGAAGCCAAGCTTCCTGCCTGCCCTGGCCGGCTGTGGCCTCCGCAAAAGGCAACAAAGTTTTAAGTATAGAAGCTAAATAAATCCCAGATCCCTGCTTCCAGCCAGCCTCCACTGGGAGCTTGGGTGGCTGGGGGCTGTTGCCAGCCTGCAAACAGCCATCAGCCCCTCACCTAGGCTGTCCAGGCACCCCAGCGGGAACCCCTACCATGAAGGGGCTGTGGCCAGCTTGCAAACAGCCATCAGCCCCTCACCCAGGCTGGCAGAGGTGGGCAGTTAGGGGTGACCAGGCCAGCAGGGGTGCAGTTGGGGCCAACCAGACTAGCAGAGGGGGGCAGTTGGGGGTGACCAGGCTGGCAAGAGGGGCAGTAAGGGGTGACTAGAGCAGTGGGGGGGGGGTCAGTTAGGAGAGACCCGGCCAGTAGGGGGGGCATTTGGGGGCAACCTGGCTGGCACAAGGGCCAGTTAGGGGTGACCAGGCATGCAGGCAGGTGAGCAATTAGTAGCCAGCGTTCCAGGATTGTGAGAGGGATGTCTGATTGCTGGTTTAGTCCCGATTCCCAGGATCAGACCTATACCAGCAGTCAGACATTCCCCGAGGGGTCCCGGATTGGAGAGGGTGGAGGCTAGGCTGAGGGGACCCCCCCCCCCATATGCACGAATTTCATGCATCGGGCCTCTAGTGTGTTTATAAAGCAGTAAAGTTTGTCATATTACTTTGTCATATGTATGTTTCATATAATAAAATTGAAAAACATAACTAGACTGATTGCTTTTGCATGCTTCACAAAAATAATTAGATTAATAAAAGCCAAAGAGTCTGTGAGTTAAAGCACATTACTTGATGATTTTTGTGTTCTGAATACAGCCTAGCGTAAATGAAATTGGCTGGTTGATTTCTGACACAAGGCTGCTTTTCAGCCTTCTTTTTCTGTATTCCAGCAACTCACATGGGCAAACCTTCAGTTCCTCTTGTGAAATGGCGCTCTCTAGTGGTTCTGTGAGGTCTTAAAAAAAGAACTAGCTCCTATGTGACTGAGTTGGACAAATCTCTGTGGAGAATCAAATCAGAGACTCTCATGCTGCTCTCCCTGCAAACATCTCCATTTCCCAACTGAATACCTTCACCAGATGCTACCTTCTTACTTAATCATTAGCCAAACACTAGTGAAGTCTCATGGCCATAGTCTTTAGCTTTCCATTCTGGATTTGCTACAATTGCCAAAGATTTGAGATCTAGATACCTACATTTTAAACTACTTCATCTCAATGAATAAAGTTATTTCTTTTTTAAAAAATATGTTTTTATTGATTTCAGAGAGGAAAGAGAGGAAGAGAGAGATACAAACATCAATGATGAAAGAGAATCATTGATCAGCCACCTCTGGACCCCCGCCCCCTACTGGAGACTGAGTTTGCAACCTGGGCATGTGCCCTGACCAGAATCAAACCCAGGACCCTTCAGTCCACAGGCCAATGCCCTACCCACTGAGCCAAACTGACTAGGGCAAAGTTATCATTTCTAGAACTGTGTTACTCTTTTTGGTTTGGGCCTAAGGGAACTTTTTATAGTGAGAAAAAGTTCTAAACTTGATTTAGTGATGATTACAAACATCTATATATTTACAAAAATCCATCCATTCATATGCATGCATTAAGTGAACAACATGGTTTGTAAATTTGACTTAACTAAAGCTAAGAGAAAAAATGCACACATTTCTGCTCTGCATCATGAATATTGGGCATTATCTTCAAATATCAGAAAAGATCATTGGAAAACATGGTTTCTTTACTGAATTTACCCTGATTTTTCAAATATTATGTTTAGGGTATCGTTAGCATGCCAAAAATTGTCAGTATGTTTTTCTTCAAATTATATAATTATAGCATTAGTATAATTTGAAAAGTTTTAAGATCAAAAAATAGGATTTAACTGTTAGGTAATTGCAAGCTAAGTACTAGGGCGTGTAACTGAAAATTTACATATTTAGGCTAAAAAAGGCAGCTATATATATCATTTAACTGAACTCTTAAAAGGATATAATTTCTATTCCCCTGACTTTATGGAGTTATGAGAAGAAATTTTTTAAAGAACCGTTATGATATTAAATTAAACATGTGGTAGAAAGTTGAGAAATCATGGTATCTAGGTCATGAGTAAAAGAAAAGAAAACATTTCCTCTGAGGTTTTCACCAACAATGAAACTGTGAAGCCTTGGATGTACCCTGAGTGGACACCCTGAAAACAAATTAGTAGTTTGAGGACAAACCCCTGATTAGCATCAGGTTTATTACTTTCTTAGTACATATCATACTTAAAACAAAACAAAACACACATATACACACACACACACTTATTCACATTAAAGATGCAAGATGAAGAAAGATATATGACATTGAATGTGCAGTTGAAAAAAAGGCGTCCTAGCCAAACATCCCAACTTAAATTTAAAGGTATGGAATTAAGTTTTTTTTCAAGTGGTGTGGATTAATATGGGCATGGATTTAACATGGGTTAATATTAACATGAATATTAATGTAGATAGCAATTTCTAATATTCTGTTCTTGAATGATTTCGCTTTTTGGTGCTTCTGTCTTCCGTCTCTCTCTCCATCTCGTCTCTCTACCTGTTTCTCTCATTTATCAATGTGAGACTAACAGTTATCTACTTTTCAAATAATATTTTTTCTCATATAATTTATTAGGATACTCTCGACAAATATATACATTAAATTAAAATTAATATTTAAAAATGAATATGAGTTGTCAGTCATGCACCTCATTATTCATAAAATATGGCATTTTAAATACCAAGTTTTAATTTAGCTTGTCAATAACTTTAAAATATGGTTTCCACCAGTTGAAAATTTTTGTTTTGGAAAATATAGATATTAGCCTGAAAGATCACAAAATGTGATGGTTCCTATGTGCCAACTTTTTTCACACTCACTTTGTAGATTTTGCATGGAAACCAAAATGTGTTTTGGTGCGAAAAAAGGAGCTCAGGACGCTACAAATAAGAAATTTGCAACTTTTAGTTAATTAAATAGTACATTCTAATATTAATACTTTACTATAGTGTATCCTTTGCTAAAATTTAGTAAAGCTTGGGGTAAAACATTACATTTGAGTCTAGTTGACAATTCAAGCCTTGCAATTGTATATTTGTATAACTTTACTCAGATCTTGGCACTAATAAGAAGAAATTCTATTTTTGCCATATGTATAAAATTTCAGAATTACTATAGATAGCATTTCTACTAATTATTTACAACAGATTAAAACGTTTTGGTGGTTTTTGTTCTTACTATATACTCTATTGGACTTGTACAGTCAAATTATGTTTTCAAATTACTTGAAATAATTCCTCCGTCTACAGTTTAGCCACTAACTTAATACCCAGTTAGGGTCCTTTACTTCAGATTCCATTTTATTCTGAGGGATCACTTTTTAAAATTTTGGCTTATCTTTATAATTATGTCTGAGTAAATATAATATGCAATTATAATTATATACTACATATTCAACTAATTGATTCAACTAGTTTATTCAACTAGTTCCCTTACTGTTGGACATTTATGATGTTTGCATTCTTTTAAAAATAATATTACTATTATAAGGCCTTGGACATAGGTCTTTTAATATTTTTCTAATATGTAACTGGAACAGATTTCTAGAAGGGTTGCTGGATGATTATATAAATGCCTATAGAAGTTTGTAAACTTCTTTAACTATCTCTCCATAGCATTGTACCATTTCGCATTTCTATATTTTTAATTGTTTACTTGGTTAGCTCACTTGTTTGTTCTTCCAAATAATTTTATAATGAAGTTTGCAGAAATTCGTCACAAACAACCCAAACCATAGCAAACTGATGTAGTTCAGTATACTAAATCACTTCTTAATTTATCAATTAACTTAGGGAAAGTTTATCTCTTTGACACAGCCTCCAGACCAAAAGTGGTTGAATTTCTATTTGTTCAAGTCTACATTTATGCTTTTCGGTTCTTTATGTGTTTGTTTAATTCTCCTTATGTTGGCTGTGGCACTGTTTGTTCGGGGTACTTTTTAAGTTTATTTCCAATTTTCTTCTTGTTTGTTTTATGTTTTGTTAGCTACCCAAGGTGATAATTTCTCTTTATTATATTTTTAAATGATATTTGATATATAAAGGCCAATTGATTTCAGTGTGTAAATTTTATTTCTAATTGTTTCATGTATCAATAGTTTATTTCTTTATATTGCTGAGTTATATTACAGGTATGGGTCTAAAGTTTTCTTAACCATTCACTGAAGGACTTCTGAGTTATTTCCAGTTTATGGTTATTATAACAAAATTGCTATGAACATTATAAAAAAGCAAATGATTAATTAGAAAGGTTTTATTTGTGTGAATATATGTGTCTGTAAGTGCTATGCACACACACCTGAGAGTATATGTGTATGGGGGGAGATTATTAATGTGTAGATTAACATTCTTTTTTCCAATGGTAAGTTATGCTGAATAGTAGCAATATTTTAAGATTTAATATAATACATGTCACAGTTTCTGACCATCCAGAGTGTTATAACTATACAATAAAGTAAATATTTTCCCATTTACTTAGGTTTGATGCTTTTGATTTCCTATTAGTTTTTGAAATTCAAAACCAATATTATATATAATGCTATTGTTATAATTGCTATTACTCCTTAGAAATGTCCTTTTCTAAGCTAATTTATGTGATTAATCTATCAGATTTTTCTGTGATGTTACACTGGTACAAAATCTTATTGGGAATATCTGGAACAGTAAATGGTCTTCTGATTTTGACTTTTATCTCCCTGATTCTTTTGGGTAAGTTAAAATGTCTTTAATTAAATAAATATATGAAAATGTGTACTTTTTATGTTTCTTTTTATATTATGTTTCATTTCATATTTATAGTTCCTTACATGAAGATTTAATAAAGAGCTCCTATGTATCAAGTAATATATTATACTTCATTGTAATGTACTTAGTAAGTAGTCAAATCAGTTAAGTATTTGTTCTCAAGTGGCATACAGTTTGATAGGAGGAAAGTGTGTGTGTGTGTGTGTGTGTGTGTGTGTGTGTGTGTGTGCATGTACCCGTATTTTTGAGGTGAATATTTAAAAACAATATTTCTTTATTAGTCAGCTTCTTGTAAATAGAATTCTATAATTTTTAATACATTTTATGTAAGATTGTATTTAATTTACTCTTACTTTTTTTCCAACAAATATTTTACTGAGCAATAAGTATACTACAAACATTACTACAAACTCCCAAACTGAAGAAAGGAATAATCATGTGGAGGAAGCTCATATTCTATTGGAAGAAATAGATTTTCGGTTAACAATTATCGTGGGATGGGCTAACCACAGTATTGTAAGTCTCGGTAAAACATTAAGAAAGCATGACAAGAGCATGTGTACTTCCTAGAGCAAGAACTTTGTTTTATTTACTGTACCACCAATTCTTAGGACAATGCCAGGCACAGAATAGATCCTCAACAAATATATGTTATGCAAATGAATTAACTGTACGCTATTTGAAATAATTTCTCATTAGACATGAAAATGAAAAAGAAACTTTCTAGTTATCCCTTCAGTGATTTCTGGTTCCAATCATCAGAATCATGTTAAGAATTTGTCTCTGCGGCATTGAGCAGGGAAGATATTTACCCAAACTTACAATAATCCTGTTTTCAAGTTTCTCAAGGAGTGTTGCTCAAATGCCCAAAAGGAACTAATTCAAGTATCACCCAGCATGATGATATTGGAAACCTGAATATGAAGAGTGACACAAGAGGGAATATAAGTACTAAAGATGCGGACCACTGTGCTTCAAGTGCTACAGACCGTGGAGGTATTTTTCAAGGCTTTGGCCTATTTTTGTTTTAATTTTTTAGACCTTCTGAATTTGAAAAATCTCATTGAACATATATGTAACAAATTAAGTAAACACATATCTTTTATAAATCTACTTGACACTCAAAACTTGATTCACATACTAGTATATATATTTACAGTTGGGGGAGAGCTGTAAAACAGAATGTAAAGACTTAAAATCAAGTTGAGACATATAATTATGAAAAATTAATTGTGATGATAAGGCAATATGTAATTAACTATTTTTTGTTTCTTAATTATCTTTTTTTGAAATACAAATAGATAAAAGCAGTTATAACAAATAAATTGTTATTGTGATAATAAGCTTGGGACTTCCAATCATATAGAATTTTGGAAAACGGTTCTACTTTCAAATTTTTTAATTAAACATTTTAACAACTCTTTGAACCTTGGACATTTATTTTATAGTATATGTGATGAAAATGCAGATTAACTTATTTTATAACTATTTATCAAAGTATTTTCTCTATTCCCCTAATTTATATAGTCCTCTTTATCATATATGAATTATTTTTGTGCACTGGGGGCGTGTCCCTCAGCCCAGCCTGCACCCTTTCCAGTCTGCGCCCCCTCGGGGGATTTCCGACTGCCCTGTGGGATCAGGCCTAAACCAGTTGGACATTCCTCTCACAATCTGGGACTGCTGGCTCCCAACCATTCGCCTGCCTACCTGCCTGATTCCCCTAACCACTCCCCTGTCAGCCTGATCGACGCCTAACTGCTCCCCTAACAGCCTGATTGCCCCCAACTGCCCTCCCCTGCTGGCCTGGTCACCCCCAACTGCCCTCCACTGCAGGCGTGGCCACCCCCAACTGTCCTCCCCTGCCTTCCCAGTCACCCCTAACTGTCTCCCTTGCTGGCCTGGTTGCCCCCAACGGCCCTCTCTCCCCTGCAGACCTGGTTGCCCCTAACTGCCCTCCACTGCAGGCCTGATCTCCCCCAACTGCCCTCCCCTGCTGGCCTGGTTCCCCTTGACTGCCCTCCCCTGTTGGCCTGATCGCCCACAACTGTCCTCCCCTGCCAGCCATCTTGTGCCCACATGGGGGTGGCCATCTTGTGTGAGGGCATAACAATCAATTTGCATATTACTTCTTTATTATATAAGATTCTATTCATCTAGTATTCTAATCTTGGCTGGCAGTTAATTTGCATATCGCCCTGATTAGCCAATGGGAAGGGTAGTGGAGTGACACCAATTTGCATGTTTCTCTTTTATTCGTGTAGATATGTGTTGAAGCTGCAGATTAACTTATTTTGTAACTATTGAAGTATTTTCTCTATTCCCTTAATTTGTATAGTCCTCTTTATCATATATGAATTATGATTATATCACATATCACACATAAAATATTATGGTCACCCTAGCCATTTTGGCTCAGTGGATAGAGCGTTGGCCCTTGAACTGAAGGGTCCTGGGTTCGATTCCAGCCAAGAGCATGTATCTCGGTTGCAGGCTTGATCTCCAGCTCTGGTCAGAGCCTGTGAGGGATGTGTCTCTCTCACATCGATGTTTCTCTCTCTGTGTCTCTCTCCCTCCCTTCCATTCTCTCTAAAAATCAATGGAAAAATATCCTCTAGTGAGGATTAACCAAAAAGGGGGGGGAAAAAGAGAGATTATAGTGGCCACACTTGGATAGTTATTTTGGCCTACACTTATATTTTATATATAGTTCACTTTCTCTCATTATTATTTCAAAAGTCTCAGATCTTTTTACTTGGAGACTTCAATTTAATTTAAGAAAATTAAAGGACTTGATGAAGTTGAAATTACAAAGAGATTGAAAAAAATGAATCTCAGTGTTACTTAATATCAAAAGGAAGACATTAAGAGGAATTACACAGATAAAACAAAGATAGAGATTCTAAAACTTTATATGGATAAATTCTAAGCAAGTGGTATAAATAATCTTTTATTTACTCTCTCAAATAGCTTTAATGCAACATATGTATTAATCGGTTTACATTTATGATATTGGATCATAGCATGAAAAAAAAACCCTTTATGTCTAGGGTTTGCTTTGTCTCACTAAATTAATTTTCTTAAGTCCCAAGGATTATATTCGTATTTTGGACACTGAGAGTCTGGACACCTTGTGATGAGTGCTTTTATTATAGTTCCACTCTTACTTATATAACACAAGTATTCTCACTGTCAATTTTCAGAGATACACATGTAATTTAATTTTTCTTTGTTTTTCCTATTTTTCTACAGGATTGTGCCCATCAGAATGGCTCAAATATCAAGAAAAGTGTTATTGGTTCTCTAATGCATTAAAAAGTTGGAGTGACAGTTATGGGTATTGTTTGGGGAGAAACTCTCATCTAGTAATAATTCAGGACCAATTTGAAATGGTATGTCGTTTAGTGTCATGGCATTAGCCTCTTTACAGTTCAAAATGGCTTTCCTCAAATTTCTTCTGACCCTTCATTTATTTTGCTTACTGAGTTTTGGGGACCTTCTTAAATTGTGTGCTTGAAGCCAATGCCTCACTTTGATTCATGCTAGTCTTGATCTGAATACTTGTATTCAGTTTGCAAGTAGACTGTGTGTATTCATATAATATATCAAATAACATGGATAAATAAGATATGAATTAATTAGTATAAGAATCCTCATGTGAGTGCGAGAAGCCTAATAAAATTCTAAAATTGTATTTAGTATGTCTAAATTATTAAAATACTAGAGGCCTGGTGCACAAAATTTGTGCACTGGGGGCGTGTCCCTCAGCCCAGCCTGCACCCTTTCCAGTCTGCGCCCCCTCGGGGGATTTCCGACTGCCCTGTGGGATCAGGCCTAAACCAGTTGGACATTCCTCTCACAATCTGGGACTGCTGGCTCCCAACCATTCGCCTGCCTACCTGCCTGATTCCCCTAACCGCTTCTGCCTGCCAGCCTGATCACCTCCTAACCACTCCCCTGCCAGCCTGATCGACGCCTAACTGCTCCCCTAACAGCCCGATCTCCCCCAACTGCCTTCCCCTGCTGGCCTGGTCACCCCCAACTGCCCTCCACTGTAGGTGTGGCCACTCCCAACTGTCCTCCCCTGCCTGCCCAGTCACCCCTAACTGCCTCCTTTGCTGGCCTGGTTGCCCCCAACTGCCCTCTTTCCCCTGCAGACCTGGTTGCCCCCAACTGCCCTCCCCTGCAGGCCTGGTTGCTCCTAACTGCCCTCTGCTGGCCTCCTGGTCCCTTCCAACTGCCCTCCCTCACTTGCAGACCTGATCTCCCCCAACTGCCCTCCCCTGCTGGCCTGGTCCCTTCCAACTGCCCTCCCTCACTTGCAGGCCTGGTTGCTCCCAACTGCCCTCCCCTGCTGGCCTGGTTTTCCCTAACTGCCCTCCCCTGTTGGCCTGATCGCCCACAACTGTCCTCCCCTGCCAGTCATCTTGTGCCCACATGGGGGTGGCCATCTTGTGTGAGTGCATAACAATCAATTTGCATATTGCCTCTTTATTATATAGGATTCTGTTCATCTAGTTACTCATTACTCACTTTTTAGGCTTTTATACAGAAAAACCTAAAACAATCAAATTATGTGTGGATTGGGCTTAACTTTACCTCCCAGAAGAGGACATGGAACTGGGTAGATGGTTCTCCATTAGCTTCAAAAATGTGAGTCTTTACTAAAAGGCAATCTGATTTATTGTTTATTGTAAGACTTACTAGTATCTTCATAAAACATCTCTGTGTCCACCAAAACCAACTTATTGGTACTAAAGAATTTTAAAGGATGAAAAATAATTTAATGTTCACTAGAGTAATAACAAATATTGTGGTTTGGTTTACAAACTAAAAAAAACTCAAAAACAATAATGGTGGCACATTTATTGTTTAAAGACTACTCGTGATTTGTATGAAAAGGTGACTGAACCAACATGCTCTTGTATTTTCAAAATTCTCAATGTTTACCTCAGGATCTTTAGTAACTGAAAAACAACTTTTGTATAATTTTTGTATTATATGATTGATTATCATAACATTAAAAGACAAATGAGAAATATAAGATGGAACAAAAGAATATAAAAATTTTACAGCAATTGCATGAAGTTATTGAGGATTTTAAAATTTTCATCAATATTTTTGTGTGCTTATGTTTATTTTATAATAAAATATTCAGAGCTACAAATAGTTAAACCAGTAAATTCAAATTTTATCCTGATGTTGGTAGACAAAATAATGGTCCCAAAGATGTCCATATCCAAATACCAAAATCCTTAGACTGTATTACTTTGAAATGGTATGTGGTTTAGTTTCACAGCTATGGCATTAGCCTCTTTACAGTTCAAAATGGCTTTCCTCAAATTTCCTCTGACCCTTCATTAAATTATCATTTATCTTGCTTACTGAGTTTTCAAATTTTATCCTGATGTTGGTAGACAAAATAATGGTCCCAAAGATGTCCATATCCAAATACCAAAATCCTTAGACTGTATTACTTTGAAATGGTATGTGGTTTAGTTTCACAGCTATGGCATTAGCCTCTTTACAGTTCGAAATGGCTTTCCTCAAATTTCCTCTGACACTTCATTAAATTATCATTTATCTTGCTTACTGAGTTTGGGGGACCCTCTTAAATTGTGTGCTCAAAGCCACTGCCTCACTTTGACTCCTGCTAGTCCTGATCTGAATACTTGTATTCAATTTGCAAGTAGACTATGTGTATGCACATAACCTTAAAAGATAAATGATAAATATAAGATCGATCAAATGAATACAAAATTTTCTCAGCAATTGCATGAGATTATTGAGGATTTTAAAATTTTGGCAAAAAAGATTTCAAGGCTGTGGTTAAATTAATAATCTTGAGATAAGAACATTATGTTGGATTATCCAGGTGGTCACAATGTAAACACGAGTCCTTACAAGAGAGAAAATAGGGGCATGTGGTCCAAGTGATATAGCCATGGCCCACGCAGTGCATCAGCCTCTAAAAGCTGCAAAGGGCAATGAACAAAATTCCCCCTAGTGCCTGCTGTGGAAGGCAGCGCTGTACACACTTGATTTACTCCCGTAAAACTAGATTTAGAATTCTGACAACCAGAACTGCAAGATAACAAATTTGTGTTGTTTTAAGCCACTAAATTAGTGGTAATTCATTAGAGCAGTGATAAGAAATTAATACACTATGTAACCAACTAATTAATGATATTGTTGTGTTATTTCCACTCCATTACTTTGTCGTTAAATATTACTTATTTTCCATCTCACTGCACTAAATGAATCAATCTAAGCAAGTCAATCAAAGACATTGGAATGGAGAATAAAATTATGAGATGGTATCATTTGAGGGTAGGGTTGTAATACTGAACATTCTCTGATTGATCACCAATGAAGGTCCTTAGTTTTCCTCTGCCAAATCCACTCAACACTACCTATAAGATTTAGTTTTAACTTTAGACCATGCCTGGGGATTTTTGTTCGAAATACATTGAATATAAAATTCAAACATAAACTTGGGAACAGTGTATTTTCCAATACAGAAATCCAGCACTTATTTGCTCCTTATTAATTTGGAAGTTTTCTTGACCCTGTACATCTTGCCTATGATTCTTAAAACTTTTTCCTAAGTTTAAATAAATTTCTAACAGAATAAAATCACTAACATTATAGTATTTTATAGATATTTTATAATTGTATTTATCATACTTGTTTATGGATAAACTAGAGGCCTGGTGCACAGATTCATGCAGTGGTGGGGTCCCTCAGCCTGGCCTGTGGGGATTGGGCTGAAATCAGCAGTCCAACATCCCCTGAGGCGTCCCGGATTGTGAGAGGACACAGGCCAGGCCGAGGGACCCCACCGGTGCACGAATTCATATACTGGGCCTCTAGTATGCACATAAGATCTTTGTTTAATCTCTTCCTGCCCTCCCCACTACCCCCTTCCCTCTGAGATTCATCAGTCTGTTCCATGTTTCCATGCCTGTGGTTTCTGCTCCTGTGTTGAGTGTCTGCCCTCTGGTAGTCAGTGCACGTCATAGATAATACAATAAATGTATAATTTAGTTAGAGCTTATATAGGTCAGTTTTTGTAGAAAGTTCTATGAGCATTGGTTCATTTAACCTCATAATGGTATCATGAGGCAAATATTATTAATACATTGTACAATTTGATATGAGAAGCCAGCCACAAAAGTTAAGTGAGTTGTTCATATGACTTAACCTTTTTTTTTTTTAATCTAAGGACCACATGGAAAAAAATACTCAAATGAGAATATGGGCACACATTTATTCTTAGCTCTATCATTTGCAAACAACCTCTCTGAGAACTTTCTGCCAATCAGATAATAATACTAAGTTACAGATATACTGTAATGTTTAGTCAGTCAAAGTATTTGCAAATGCCTTGAAATTTTGAATTACCTTTTAATTAAGGGAGGACATTAGCTGCAAATACAAATGGATCTCTTCATCAACAATGATTAACAATATATTTATCATCTCTTCTACAGATTCTTCATAAAAGGACCAGCTACTGAAAACAGCTGTGCTGCCATCAAGGGAAACAAAATTTACTCTGAAACCTGCAGCAGTGTTTTCAAGTGGATTTGTCAATGTTAATATTTTAAACAATAAATTATAGTGGAATAATCAGTTATCAAAGATTTTTGCCTATTAGGTTCTAATATTAATCTTCAAGAGTAAGAATTTAAAACTGAAATTAAACACCAAAACCTTTGCTCCATTTTCCCTTCATCACCCATATTGATGCTAGTCTCAAAATAACTCCTGCTTATAATCTACAATATAACCTTTCTAGTTTTTAATGTGATAATATAATCTAGTGTAAACCCATGCATTTATATTCAGGATTTTTATTCATTTTTCATTTACACCAAATGTTATTATGTCTGCTTTCCTGTATTTTGCCTTTTTATTATTAACAATATTCTATGCAAATTTCATGTAGTCCTGAGTTGCATTATGGTGTGGATTTATAGATTCTATACTCCTTTATTGATGAACATTAAATTTGTTTCTAGGATTTTGCTACTGTAAACTGTGTTTCAATAAATATTCTAAATATTTTCTTAAATAATAGCACTTTTTTTTCGATGATATAAACTTTAAAATTGGAAATTCTGGGTAGAAGTGTTAAATATGTTGTCTGTTTACTTTAGATTTTATAAAAGTTTTATCTAAACTTGAAAACTATTAAAAACTTTCAAGAAGATTGTGGGTACAGAATAAAGATCTAAATCTTTTTCTTGAACATCTTTAGAATTAGTTGTCAAACTGTTGTATTTAATTATGAAATTTCAGGTATCACTGAATAATGCTGTGTATATTTCCTACAAAAATATTCTACTTAATCACAATACAATGACCCAAATCCACATTAACATTGCCACAGTGCTACCAATTAATTCTCAGGCTACCTTCAGTGTTTGCCAATTATCAAAATAATGTTCTTTAGAGTAAAACAGCCAGTTCAGATGTTTATTTAATCTCCTCCCATCTAGAAGAGTTCCTTAGCCTTCTTTGATATTCATGACCTTGACCTTTTGAATACTACAAGCTGGTGATTCTGTAAAATGTTCTTCAATTTGAATCTGTCTGATTATTTCTCATGGTTATATTCAAGTTATGCCTCCTTGGCAGGAATAGCAGTGATGTAGTGAAATTGCCTTCTTCTCAATGGTTCATAATTTTCTATTCTAATGATCAAATTGTTCCAGACTGAATCATAAGAGTTGCCCTTCAAGGTGACATCTGTCCCTGATATCCACAATCCTTTGCTTGTTTGTAGTTTTTTCTGTTTGTTTTTAATGGTAATAGCATCAGTAGAATACCAATGATCATCTTTGCCAATATTTGAACTGGCCTTTATGTTCTAGCCCAGAGGTTTTCAATTGGTGTGTTACAGACATTTTAAAACATGCAATACCTGACTATTTAGTCAACAGCACTGACCTCTTTTTTTTTTTTCAATTGCTTTGCATGTTGTCAGCTGTTCCTCCCATCTGAGACTGAAATGCCATAATAAACTTTGAGTTTATGCCTAACACCTCCAGAGTGGTAGAAATCCACAGCTTTTCTCCCGTCTTGCAACTCCCTTTAAAGAGGCAGCCGGGTTCTCTTTTCTCCCTTGAGACTTTCTTCTCCTCTCTGAAGGTGCCATCCCCAAGCCTCCAGGGCCAGGGGCACTGACCTCTTTCCCCCCCGAGTGTCAAATAAAAAATGACAATAGCCAACGCAACAATAGATTTCCTGTGTGAATGAATCAAAATTATATCTATTTTTTGGTTAGATTGTCAGACTAATGTTGGAGTACTTACTCCTTGACCCTGCTCACCGTGCCAACTGTGGGAGCCCAGGTCCTTCTCTGCCAGAGGCTAAACCCCTGTAGATGCCGGATATGAGATGGAGAAGATATGAGAAGTCGTGGGCATATAAGAGAGCCTTTATTGTAGCCCAAGTAGCCATTGCTAACAAGGAGCCATTAGGCAAAACAGTTCTTCAAAGTAGACTCACAAAGTAGCTGCAGAAAGCAGCCTTTGCAAATACAGTAGTAAACACAGGAGCGCTTGTAAACATGGCAGCCATTGCTAACAAAACAGCATGACCGGTAGCCAGCCTTACATAAAAGCAGCCTCATACTGGCTGTTCAGTAACACCCTTTATACCAATTTAGACAAAAGAGACTTCTTGCCAAATAGTGACATCAGTATCTGGGTTATAGAAAAGCACACCTGTGTAGTGTATACAATACAATCGCTGTGCCCTTGCTCAGATTGGCCTTGAACATCTGGAGTACTCTGGACAAGGGCCCCCACACTCCAATTGGCCTTGGACATCCAGCATACTTTGATTAGGGTGCCCACACTCCACCCCTTATACCAGATGGTCTCCTAGGGTGTCCTGGCCCATTTGCCAGCTCCTTGAACATGGAGCCTATAACAACAATACAAACTGTAGTATGTTATGACCAGTACTCTGGCCCCAATAGTAAACTTACAAATGCCTAACTTCATGTCCCTGACAGTCTATCCCACCAGTCTTGCGGGGGGTGGGAGTGGGGTCATGGGAGAGAGCTTGTATGACCTGTACTTTACTATCTCTTGCAGGATACTGGTTACATTGTCAGGTCTGGGTCAAGGGGTGCGACTTATAGTAACTTATAGTTGTACCTGCTTCCCAATGGGAGAGGAGGGCCACCCATGGCCCCTCCCTAGTAACAGACTATGGCCAGGTCCACACTTTCTGTCAAGGGGGAAGGCCTTGGGTCGCACAGTTCATCTGTTGCTTTCACCTGCACATGCAGGGTCTGAGGATACCTCCGTGTATATTTGCCTAGCCCGTGGTCGGCAAACTGCGGTTCGCAAGCCACATGCGGCTCTTTGGCCCCTTGAGTGTGGCTCTTCCTAAGCCTTAGGAGTACCCTAGTTAAGTTAATAACAATGTACCTACCTATATAGTTTAAGTTTAAAAAATTTGGCTCTCAAAAGAAATTTCAATCGTTGTACTGTTGATATTTGGCTCTGTTGACTAATTAGTTTGCCGACCACTGGGCTAGCCTAATCTTTTAGGCTAGGTGGGTCCACCCCTAGGTGGAGCTCACATTTCCTGTCCCTACATGGGGTGATGGCCTACTAGCCACTATTGCTTGTGTCATCATGGCAACTATAAAGTTAAGCCTGTGAAGATAGCCCAGCTTCTGTTCTAATGGTCGAAGGGCTACTTTGCCCAGTATCTGAATCAAACTACATAGTTCATTAGTATCCAAATGGACAGTCACAGCTGTCCATGTAATAGGATTCTTCCCTATTAGACCCTTTCTTTTCACCACATGTTCTTCAAGAAGGGTGGCATACCCTCTTGGAACGAACTAGGGAGTAGCTCATCCATAGAAGTTTTATCCCTCGACAGGGTCTCATGTCACAGGACCCAACAGGGTTTAAAATTCCTGTGACAGTGGGCTGGAACTCACCACTTCCTTCTGTTCTAAATAGGCCCCCACTTTGCTAAAGTTGGGATTTGTGCCACTCCCAACATGGGCATGGTCACACAGGCCTGCAAGGCAGCACACATGGCTGCCAACTGTCTCTCAACAAGAGAATATTGGCTCCCAGTTTTCTTCCATAACTGGGACTAAAACCTGATGGGTACCCTTCCCTGCCCACTTGGGCAACTGCCCTCTTGGCAGCTAGGTGCCCTTTATTTCTGGGGTTCAACCCCACATTGCCCCCTTCTGGGACAACTGACACATGGCCATAACAATGGAGCCAGGTGGGGACTGGACACTTGCTAACACCCCAAAAGACCAACATAGGACTGTAACAACTGCTGGCAGCTGCGTTCAAATCTGCAAGAGATTCAAGGTTAACATATTATTAACACAGTGAAACATTGGCCCTATGGGAGGCTTGCCCCAGGTAGCTAAATCTCATGCCATCAAATTATGACAAATGGTAGGGCTATGCAAACATTCCTGAGGGAAGGCGACCAAAGCCCACTGTCAACACTCCTATGCAAAAGCCAACTGTCCTTGACTCTCTGCAGCCATGTCCATGGAGAAGAAGGCACCAGGCAAGTCCATCACATAGGATATTGCTCCAATGTTAGTAGCAAGATGATCCCTGCAATCCTCTACAGCCAGCACCTTGAAGTGTAGCAGGGGAGTCAATCTGGTACCGGAGAGAGTTGCCTACATTACAAGGACAGCTCTACTCTGCACCCATCTATATGAGCCTCTAGGCCGCATATCTATCCAGGCCACTACAGAGCAAACTGTAGTCCACATCAGCGAGTTCAACATGAGGCCTTCTGGCCCCCCAACCGGGTGCCTCCACCATCTCTTAGTCTAAGTCTAAGAGATCAGACTCCTCGATCTGGTCCAGGGGTAGCGCCTTCCCTCTGCACTCTCAGGGGTCACTGCTCCACCAGCAGCTGCATCCAGAGGGCCAGCAGCAGTCACTGGGTCGCTGATCTATTTTCTCCCTTTTAACCCCTGCTGTGAGCAGGCATTGTCTTACTCACAGTCACAGGCCTCGCCATGCCCCTCTCTCACCTCTTGAACTCCAGGTGGCCATGGAGCCACATACTGCTGGGGCTGCAGAGAGAATCAAATCTTCATGCGCATTGCAAAACAGCAGCAGCTTGGGCGCCAGACCCTCCTGCCATCTTTCACCTGCTCTGGCCCTTGATGCTGGTGGTGCTCTCAATGGCCTCTGCTGTAGCCTCTGCAGAACTGGGCTCCGCCTTCCTCTCTGCCCGGCTCCTGGCTCCCGGAGGCTTAGTCTCTCTCAAGCTGTGCAGCTCCCGGCCACTCCTTGGGGATCTGGTCCGCAGGGACTGAGGAGTCTTCTCTGCTGCTACCGGTGTCACCGCTACCAGATACGACAGCCTGGTTGGAGGAAACATGACCTCCAGCGGGGTAGATGGACACTTATCCCCAAATCCTGTTCCTGATGCCAAGTGCTGGAGTCCTTACTCCTTGACTCTGCTTGCTGGGCCAACTGTGGGAGTACAGGTCCTTTTCTGCTAGGGGCTGTACCCCTGTAGACAACGGGTATTAGATGGAGAAGATATGAGAAGTCGTGGGCATATAGTATTGCAGAAGACCAAAGAAACCCAAGCTAGCTTAAAGAAATGGAGTTACACAGCTTTATTACGCCAGTGGTCTCAGAGGAGTTGCCTCCAGAGTCTGAGCAAACCAATATGGTGGAAGCCCTTCTTTTATCCCCTTTTGGTTTCTTTGTCCCCCAAATATGGATGGGGACTTCCGGACCTTTCATTGGCTTAGCAAAAAGCCCTGTGGGTTGGGATGGGGGTCTTGAGGTCATATCTAAGGACCTGGCCTGGCGCCAGTGCTGATAACTCCCTCCAGGGGTTATGTATTGTTCATGATTTATGGCCTCTGTAAAATGTGAGCATTTAGGTAACAGGTCTTGCAAGACCAGATTGTGGAGGAAAGGGGCAGTGACTTAATTATAGGTTATCAAGAATGCACATTAGGTTACTGCACAGATTCAGATTGCTAGCCCCCACAAACATCAGGGTTACATTGGAATTAGCCTTTTAGCCTTCTCAATAGGAGAGTATTGTAGCCCAAGTAGCCATTGCTAACAAGGAGCCATTAGGCAAAAGAGTTCTTCAAAGTAGCCTCACAAAGTAGCTGCAGAAATCAGCCTTTGCTAAACACAGGAGCCCTTGTAAACATAGCAGCCATTGCTAATAAAGCAGCTTGTCCCTGTAGCCACCCCTACATAAAAGCACCCTCATACCAGCTGGTCAGTATCACACTTTGTACCAACTTGGTCAAAGGAGACTTCTTGCCAAATAGTGACATCAGTATTTGGGTTATAGTGACATCAGTATTTGGGTTATAGAAAATACCCCTGCGTAGTGTATAGAATACAATTGCTGTGTCCTTACTCAGATTGGCCTTGAACATCTGGTGTACTCTGGACAGGGCCCTCACACTCCAATTGGCCTTGAACATTCGGCATACTTTTATTAGGGTTCCTACATTTAGTAATTAGTTTATGTGTGCCATGAGATGAAAAAGGTTGAAAATCGCTGTTCTAGCCTGATTCATGAACATTAATAAAATAATGAACCAGACAAATATAAAAATAAAACTTTCTTTTCTCAAATAACTTGCTTTTGTTTTCATCTTTCAAAATATTATATTTTATTTTTCTCCTCTAGAATTTAAGCTCCATGTGAACAAGGTTTTTTGCCTTGTTTGGATATCTGTTGTATCCTTATTTTCAAAGCAATGCTTGACACATAATAGATGCTCAATAAATATTAATTGAATCAATTTTGATAGGTACTATAAATTAAAAATTGCATGATACTTATGAAAATATAAAGTAGGGTATCTCATGTATCCAAAAGAAATATCTCTCAATAATGAAGGGGAAAATACTTTTTCAGACTAACAAAAGCTGAGATAATTTATTACCAGCAGGTCTGCATTATTAACAATATTAAATGGAGTTCATATGTGGACTCTAATGAACAAAATAAACTGATGAACCAAAAATAGATCCAGAGACATAGAAGCAAGGAACAAATTGCTAACCCCAGAGGGAAGGCAGGAGAGGGTGGGTGGATGGGTGGGCAGAGATCCATCAATGAACATGTATGCATACATGCATAACATGGACACAGTAGGGTAGTGAAGGCCTGGGGTGAGGGGCAAGGGTAGGCTAGGAGAGGTCAATGGGGGACAAAGGGGACATATGTAATACTTTCAACAATAAATATTTAAAAAAATAAATAATAAAGGAGTGTTGCCCATGGGTGTGGCTCAGTGGTTGAGCGTCGACCTATGAACAGGAGGTCACAGTTCAATTCCCAGTCAGGGCACATGCCCAGGTCATGGGCTTGATCCTCATTATGGGGCATGCAGGAGGCAGCCAATCAGTGATTCTCTCTCTTTATTGATGTTTCTATCTCTCCCTGCCCCTTCTTCTCTGAAATCAATAAAAAATACTATATATTTTTAAAAAAACACCTCCAAAACAAAAAACAATAAATATTCAAAAAATAATAATAATAAAGGGAGTTCTTGCCCAGCCAGTGTGGCTCTGTGGCTGAGCATCGGCCCATGAACCAGGGGGTCAGTGTTCAATTCCCTGTTCAATGCAGTGTTCAATGCAGGAGGCAGCTGATCAGTGATTCTCTCTCATCATTGATGTTTCTATCTCTCTCTCCCTTTCCTTTCCTCTCTCTGCAATCAGTAAAATCATAATAAATAAAGATAGTGCTTCAATAAATATAGGGGTGCATGCATTCTTTCAAACTGTTATCTCTGGTTTCTTCAGATATATTCCCAGAAGTGGGATCATTAGGTCAAAGGAAACTCCATATTGTTTTCCAAAGTGGTGGGAATGCAGGCCTTAGAAGGTTCTCTTTCCTCCACATCTTTTTTGTTGATTCATTGATGGTAGTAATAGCGTCAATGATAAAAAGAAAGAAAAAAGGAAAAGAAAAAAAAACTCACTTTAAAATCATATTTTTAAAACCTAGATAAAACACCACTAATGTTGAAATATTTGAAACATTTTCCTTAAAATGTCAAACAACTCAACACTATTCACCATCAGTAACTCTCTGGCAGTCTTACCCTTTTTCATTAGACAAGAAATAAGTAATAGCTATAACACAGGAAAAAAATAAAGCTTATTAGTAAATGCTATGTTTTGTAGCATTTAAAATAATCCACAGATTATTCGAAATTGTGAGAGCTTTCAGCATGGATGTTGAACAGAAAAATAATCAAAAGCAGTTATATTTTTATACAGAAACAACTATTTTAAAAGACAATAAATTACATAACTCCAATAGGAGAAAAATTATACATATAAAATAAGGATGCATGTAATAAATAATTTTCAGTAACTGTTTAGAAAAATTGTAAGTTATATAAGAAGACAAAAATCAATAGAAGATACATATTGGCCAGTGTTGTTCAGTAGTTGGAGTGTTAGCCCGTGCACCAAAAAGTCGAGGGTTCAATTCCCAGTTAAGGGCTCGTACCTGGGTTTCAGGTCCATTCCATGCCCCAATAGAGGCACATGTGGGAGGCAACCAATTGGTGTGTCTCTCACATCGATGTCTCTCTCTGTCTCTCTCACCGACACCCTTTCTCCCTCCCTTCCACTCTCTAAAAATCAATGGAAAAATGTCCTTGGGAGAGGATTAACAAAAAAAGATACATATTATAAATTAATAAGAACATAATGTTATAAATACAATATTGCCAACACTGACCTATAGATTCTGTGAAATTACAAGATTCTTCTAAAATTGATATAGAAAAGCAAAGATCCAGGACATATGAAAAGTTAAAAAGTAAGTTGAAGAAATTTAACAAAAGTGAAGTTATACAGAGGGAAAGAAAAAAAGATATTAAAACTTTATTACCTATGGTTATAAATCATAATCAGAAATGTTTATGTAGTACTTTTTTTTCCCCTGCAAATCCATTTTCTTTCTGTGTAGCATCTAGCTGTTGCTACACCATCATCACTGAGGTAAGCACATTTTTCATTTCCTCTTACATCAAACCTATAATAGAGAGAGTACATTAAACACTATGTACTTGGGAGTCCTATAATTTCTCCCTTGTCCAATAACACCTTTTAAAAAAATCTTCCCCGAATCCTAAAAATGTGTACTGTGATATACCAATAGTACTCTCTTGCTAGGATTAAGATATCTGCACCAAACTGAACCATAAGAGTCTGTCTTCCAAGCATTAATATTTATTAAATTACATTAAGTGAGTGATATGTAATCAGGGGAACTACCAGTTCATATAAATCAATGGTTCTAACATGGGGCAATTTTGCCTTTCCCCCACCCTCCACAAGGGACACTTGGCAATAACTGGAGACATTTTTGGTTGTCACAAATGGAGTGGGTAAAAATCAGAGATGCTGCTAACGTCCTACAATGCACAAGAAAGTGCCCCCCTACCCACAACAAAGAATTATTCAGTCCAATGTGTCAGTTGCGTTGCTACTGAGAACCTTGACTAAAAACTAAAGTGGTAAAGTGGCTGGCTGTCATCATTTGGGTTGGTTACACCGAGATCATGTGTGCAGTGAGTTCAGGTCTTTCAATCCAACTTTTCTTATTGTAAAATGAAAGATACAAAGCTCAGGATAAATTATGTTATCGATGCAAATAAAATCAGGTTAAAATAAACAACAAATTGATCATGAACTGTAAAATATGTCAGCAAACAGGTAGCACAAAGCTTGAAAAATAGATGTAGAATTGGAAAAGATAATTTAGAATCAGGCACAAGTTTAAATTCTTTTGGACTGTGTTTGTGAATTTTAGGTCTTTATTTTCAAAATAACCAAGTACACGATCTTCCCCTTATATATATATTTTAAAGCAAATTAACAACAGTGAATATTTATTAATTGCTATGATCCAGGTTCTCTTTTTTAAATTTATCTTTGTTGTTTAAAGTATGTCCCCTTTCCTCCCCTTGCCCCATGTCCTCCCCACTCCCATGTCCTCCCCATGCAACAGGCTGAGGATTCCCCTTATGTCTTGATTCCCAGCCTCTCTGGTTGGCTCCTGGAGTTAATCTCAGTACATGATACAATCTTCCCATTTCATCTTTTTAACATGTGCTCAAATCTTGGGCTCTAGAGAAATGTAGCTAACCCATGTCTAAATTTAAATAATCTGAGAAAGAAAGAAACTCACCATTTGTTAAATATTCCTCCATTTACCCAAGTTCCTGTTTGATTTTCTGTCATCTCCAACCCAATCCAGAGATCAAAAATACATCTGTGTTGTCTTAAAAAATCCTTTAGAGACAAAATCAATTTCATAATTTTACTTCTCAGTTTTTAATATAGCCCATTGTGAGGAGCAAGGTGACAAATGTTAAACACCAAGCTATACCAGAAAATAAAAAATATTTTACTCTCTGACCCTCAGTTTTCTTATTTATGAAACAAAGATGTGAGAAACATTTTCTTTCAGATACTTTCTGATTCCAAATTAATAATTTTTCAATATGAAAATCTATTCCTCCAGTATTTTTAAACAAAAAAATCTATGGAAATCCAGTTTATTATGAAGCCCATTTTAATCATCACATATTTACTATAATGGTTTTCCTGTTCCTAGCAATTACTAGTATATTGAGTTCCATGTTGTATTTTACTTCAACTTCTCTCCCAAAATTATTCTCTCTCTCTCTCTCTCTCTCTCTCTCTCTCTCTCTCATGCCCCTCAGATAACTAGTTCTTTTATAATCTAGTTATCAGATTGTATTTTTTGCAGATATTCTAATTTTTAAAGGTATCATTCAGGGAAATTATAATTTTTCCTGATATTTCTTCTTTTCTCCTTCTTATTCCTTCAATGTTACAATTGAGCTCATTTTCAAGTCATGGAGTCTTCTCTGCTACTGAGTACATACTTAGCTTTACGTTACATAACTCCATGTTTCCAGTTGATGATAAATATAAAGGAATCATGACAACTCACAATACTCATGGTCCATTTCTATCTAATACTAGTAACAGTGACACAGTAGCTTTTGTCATTTTAATATGCCATCCTCTGCAGCATTTTATAAATTTGTTTTTAAAAAGTTCATTTCATTGAGCTAAACTTTGGGATTACAAAGAAACAGATTAATAAAATATTCTCCCTGGATTGAAAGGGTTTAATTTAGTGAGAAAAATTATGTAAATATAGAGTTAGAAAATATCCTACTAGTTAAGGGGAAGATAATGAATATAATAAACACAAATTAAAATTAAAGTTTACAAAAAAGAAGTATCTGGTTTTTATGGGAGGCTTTCACATAGAATGTGCTTTTTTTTTTTAATATATTTTATTGATTTTTTACAGAGAGGAAGGGAGAGAGACAGAGAGTTAGAAACATCGATGAGAGAGAAACATCGATCAGCTGCCTCCCGCACACCCCCCACTGGGGATGTGCCCGCAACCCAGGTACATGCCCTTGACCGGAATCGAACCTGGGACCCCTCAGTCCGCAGGCCGACGCTCCATCCACTGAGCCAAACCGGTTTCGGCTAGAATGTGCTTTAAGAGGTAAAGCTGGAAGAGATTTCATGATACATATAGAGGGTGAGGGAGAAAAAGACATTCATAGTCTAGACTTAGCAAAGAGCTTGTCTGAAGGCAGAAAAAATATGTAAGGATAAACATATTGGAAACCAGCAGGGGAGATCTATGCCTATGCCTATGCCTATATATTCGTATGAAAAATAATACAATGATTAATGAACAGTAATGCAAAAATAAACTGTTTTGTGTACTTGCAACTGTAAATCTATTTTTGCCCATCCTGTATGTGTATATATAAATTATTGAATAATGGGAAAATTGGGTGATGTTCAAGTAGCTGTGGTCTTGGTGACAGGCAACTGGGAGGTGCATTTTCTAGAACCTGTCCAATGAAAAAATATTAATAGTTAATTGTTTAACACAGGGGTGTCCATATAGCTTATTGTTAAAAATGCAAGATAATTTTAAGTAGATGAAAATAAACAAAAAAATATTTCATGAAACAAGTTTTATCTCTTAATATTTTAAATTATTTTACATAAAGTCTTAAAATTCTTAAATACATTGCCCTGGCTGATGTGGCTCAGTTGGTTGAGGGTCATCCCATACACCCAAGGTTACAGGCTAGATTTTCAGTCAGGGTGCATGCTGGGGTTGCAGGCTCTATCCCCAGCAGAGGGCGTGCAGGAGACAGCTGATCAATGTGATGTTTTATCTGCTGGAAGCAAATTCCAGCAGGTCATAATTATGCAAAAATTCATCAGAAGGCTGATGGATCTTGGGACTTCAGCAGGGCTGAAAATATGCTATATTATTACCTGCTGCTGAACAGCTGCAGGCATTTCCCCTAAACTGATAATCTTTCCTGTTTACCTGCTGCTGGAGGAATGGCTGAAGGAATTTCTCCTAACCTGATAATCCATTATTGCTTACTAGACCTTACCTTGGATATGTATATCTGCTTTGCTAAAGGGCAAAATCTATATTAATGAAAGGGTAATATGCTAATTAGACTGGGAGACCTTCCAGACGTCCTTCCAAACAAAACCATGGTGGTGGGGCTGAGGCAGAGGTGGTTAGGGGCGATCAGGCCAGGAGGGGAGGGCAGTTGGGGCGATCAGGCCAGGAGGGGAGGGCAGTCAGGGGCAATCAGGCTGGTGGGGGGGGAAGTTGGGGGCAAGCAGGCCAGCAGGGGGGACAGTTGAGGGCAAGCAGGCTGTCAAGGAAGGCAGTTGGGGGCAAGCAGGCTGGCAGGGGGGAAATTGGGGGTGAGCAGGCTGGCAGGCAGAGTGGTTAGGGGCGATCAGGCTGGCAGGCAGGTGAGCAGTTAGGAGCCAGTGGTCCCGGATTGCGAGAAGAATGTTTGACTGACAGTTTAGGCCCAATCCCTGTGGATGTCTGGCAGTCGGACATCCTCCAAGGGGTCCCAGATTGGAGAGGGTGCAGGCTGGGCTGAGGGACACCTCCCCACCCTTGTGCACAAATTTCGTATACCGGGCCACTAGTGTGTTAATAAAAAGTCATGGGTCCGGAGATTCGGAGAGCTTAGTCACTAGAGCTAAGACTCCCCTGGCCCCCCCAAAATGCCTTCCAAATTTAAATTTCTTGTCTATTTATCCATTTATTTGCAGCCCCTTCTCCAGATTCCTGAACCCTTGCTGTGAAAAGACTGTGGCATTTATCAATGTTTCTCTCTCTCCCTCTCCCTTCCTCTCTCTCTAAAATCAATAAAAATATCAAAATTATTGTATATGTTACTTTTATCACTCCTTCACAGACAGGTTTACCTCATTCTGTTGGTCACTTATATTTTGCCCAGATTCTGTAGTATATAACAGGCATCAACAATCTTCAAAATACATCAGGATATTTTATGATCAGTTTTTTTTAATCCAAATAGTACAATAATTCTTATTTGCTATGTTTAATGATTTCTCTTAAGCTCAAAACTATTGTTGTGTACTTCTGTTCTTAGTGTTCCATAATATTCACTCTTTTTCAGTCTTTGCCAACATGATTCCTGTAAGTGAAGAGTTTAAACAGTATGCCTTGTTCTTTCTTTATCCCTCAAGAATTTTATTAACATTCATTATTTTTCCATTTTGCTGGTAATTTAGCCTCTTTTTCCTTAAGAGGAACTGTAAAAGGCAGTACAAATAGTTCTCAGAATGTTCATTATAAAAGTCTTGCAAAATTCATGAGTGAGATTATTTATAGAAGCTCTTTCATTTAAGCATATTTTATTTTCTGTGTCTGCTCTTAACATATTTAGTTTTTCACATTTTATTCAGATTTCCATACCTTTTCTTGCTTCCAAAATAGTTTACTTTCCTTGCAATGATCTGTAAATTGTTCCAGTCTGGTTCACATTCATTTAAATGTGTACCAATCATCAGGCAGATTATCTAAATAGACTGTTCACCACATAAATAACATACAATTCTAACAGTGTTGACTGCTGTGCTGTACTCTTTACATTTTAAACGCTTCTTAATTGTACATTATTCCCAAAAATATTTAAACCAAATTACATTACCTCTTATATTGACCCTTTTAAAGAGATTAGACAAAAGCAAAACTATATGTTTACTGTAAACTTGATTTAGGGAAATAACAGATTTTACAAGTGCAGAGTTACAGAGTTTCTCAATCTCTTATTCTTGGAGATTCTCTTTACTAAAAAAAAAAATTGTCAGAGGGAAGGCAGGGAGGGGGATGGGAGGGGAGTGATTAACTGGGGAATTTATATGCATAAATTCATAACCCATGGACACAGAATATAGAGTGGTGAAGGCCTGGGAGGGGCAGGTTCATGGTGGAGGGGGTCAATGGGGAGGAGAAACAGAAACAAAGAGGATATTTGTCATACTTTCAACAATAAAAATAAATTTTTAAAAAATTTGTCATGGAAAATAATATTTATTCAACAAATATTCATTAAACTTTTATTTGTATCTGTCTTTATGCTACAGCAAAAGATATAATTTCAAATAAAGCATAATATTTATTTACTGGAAGCTCATCCTCTGGTCTAGGGTGAAACTTTCGATTATACACCTATTGCATTACCAGTAATGAGTGCTATGATGGAGGCTGCCATGGGAACTCAGAGGCAGACAGCAAAGCAATAGTGAGTAGTCAGAGGAAGGTGAAATGAAGAATCCCATCCACCATGAAGCAGTTCTCTGTTTGTGCACTAAAAGGTTTTCAAATATTATCAAGCTCTTCTATTTATACTCCTTAAAATATAAAGATAACTATCAAGTCTACTAACTTGATGTGTTACACTATCCAAACAAAATATCATCAGGTATCTTCCATGGCCTGCTATGAACATCTTTAATATTCCATATACAAAGATAGGCATGTGTAAAAAGTTTTAAAAATCATAATGGAATTTGAATATTTCCAATGCCCTTACACACAAAAAATTCATAAGTTTTATGTATTAGATTACTTACCATTTCTTCTCTAGAGTCAATCACAGTTAGGTCAGCATGTTGAGTAGAACAGTTGTGTCTACTTGAATTCCAATCCCCTTCTTGTTTAGAGAAATAATAGCAATTCTTTTGAAAACCAATCCAACCATCTGGGCAAAAATACTGAGTAGATGGACTGTATTTAACTAGAAATGAGACAAATGCATAGTCTAAGAACCAGATGAAATAATATACCTCTGCATTTGAGATTATTGGGGAAAGGCAGGATTGTGATGTAAAAGATTATATGATCATGATTAGAATTGCATATATACCACGTAACATGTTTTTAAAAAATTCCTGTTACATTAAATGACAGCAGCTCAGGATTTGACAAGACACTCATATTCCTTTTGAAGCATAATAGTAATCCCTCCTTTGGAAAAACTGCTGTTTGAAACTGCTGTTTTAGAATTCTCTGTTGTTTTGAAATTCTCTGCTATTTTTTGCTAGTCCTTCTGTTATTTTTAGACTGTAAAATAACATTGCTTTTTAGCTTGAATAATAGAAAAGATAAACTTAATTGTCTGACCTTGCAAGCTAGCCATCTAACATAAGGGACTGAAATGCTGATACTGATGCCAGGTGTCTGTATAGATATGTACTCAAGGTTACAGGTGTCTGTATAGATATGATATGTACTCAAGGTTACAAGTTGTCTGTATAGATATGACAGGTGTTTGCTAGATATGACATATACTCAAAGTTACAAGTTATCTGCAAAAATAACTTACACAAAGACCTGGAAGGATATAAAAAGGGAATACTCCTTCCTGTGTTTGTTCAGAATTTGACAGAGCTATTCTGCTCTGAACCTGCGTGCAATAAAGATGATTTCTAACTAATTGGCTCATTAAGGCGTCTTGTCTAGCTCGCTGATTTGCGATACACTTTTAACTCTAACCTTAATGATACATAGGCATTTCAGAGTAACCATTGTTATTTGTGTCACTTTCACTTGTGTTAAGACACCTTTGTCATTTATGGGTAAATGAAATATAATAAAATCCTAGCATTATCTGCAAGTAATAAAAATACTAATTTAAACTAGACTGTAAAAATGCAGGAAGCATGTTAAATGCTAAGGAAGTAATGGAAAGAATAAAACAGAATATGTAGCTAACGAGGCATGTGTTAGATTGCCTATTGTCAAGAAGGTAACCCATTAGTTCTGGGTTAACCTATGAAAAGAACCCACACGAGATTTAGAAGGGGGAAATGAAGCAGAAGTCATTATTCTTAAAGACTTGGGCATTGGCAGTTCATAGGTCTCTTCATGAGTACCTTTGGCAGCTAGATGTGTTAGCTTCTTAGACTTTCTTCTAATCCAGCGGTTCTCAACCTGTGGATCGCAACCCCTTTGGGGGGTCGAATGACCCTTTCACAGGGGTCGCCTAAGGCCATCGGAAAACACATATATAATTACATATTGTTTTGTGATTAACTATGCTTTATTAATTATGTTCAATTTGTAACAATGAAAATACATCCTGCATATCAGATATTTACATTACGATTCATAACAGTAACAAAATTACAGTTATGAAGTAGCAATGGAAATAATTTTATGGTTGGGGATCACCACAACATGAGTAACTGTATTAAAGGGTCATGGCATTAGGAAGGTTGAGAACCACTGTTCTAATCTCTGGATTCTCCTAAAACGTTAGTGGTTTAAGCCAAAGTTATTAGTGACTATTTCTCCTCCAGTGATACAACTTTCCAGACCATAACTCCACAGCTCCTCTCATAATAATGTTATTCCTAATTCTTGTGTTAAAGTCCTAGTCTTGAAACATTTGTAGTGTCTATTTTTCTGAACACAGGTAGACTTGAGTCAATTTTTGGTTCCAGAAATGGTTCTAAAGCAACAGAACCTTAAGGATGAGATATCATCATATTGATTTTTCAATGTCATTTGCTTTAAATGCATTAATCTAATCACCAGTTATAAATGGGATGCTGGTGATTAAGGGTGTACCGAGAGAAAACAATTGGTTGAATTATTATCTACAGTCATTTCCACAATGAGTCAATGAAATTTTGCTTCATGTTATGACATGGAAGAATAACACAGCATAATGTGGAACAACAGAAATGAGATGCAAAGGATACATGCAAATTGCATGATTTTATTTATGTAGAAATGTTTTTAGATGGGCAAAACTAACCTATGCAACTGAAATCAAAATAGTGATTATCATTATCAGGGTGAACAATTTTGTCTTAATCTTTGCATCTCCCAATGCCTTACATAGGTCACGTATTTCATAATAACTCATTCATCGATGCCCATTAAATATATCGTGACTAATGGGAAGGGAGTGAGAATAATAAGCAAAGATCATGATGAAACAAAAAGAAAAAGAATCATTTAATAGTGAAACGGAATTTTTGTAATAGAACCCAGATTCTTTGTCTGCCGGAATTGAAAAATGAATCCACCGACAGAAAGTGGTATAGCAAAGGTGGAAATTTATTGAAGGGCAAGTACAGACTACCAGGTGGGGAGAGGAAAAGAGTCCCACAGAATGGACTCCCACGTGGGGAGGGGGAAAAGGGTCCCACTGAGTTTTTTCCCCTATGGCTTATAAAGGCTGCAGATCCTGGTGCCTTGATATCCCCTTTGGCCACTATTCCCTTAGACTGGTTACTATGGTAACTCCTAGGCTCAAAGGTGGCACCTCATATGGGACATGTGATGCCCCCCTCCTTCATTGTTCTTTTCTTTCTGGGCTTTCTTCCTTCCTCTTTATTTTGTAAATATAGACCTTTTTGGCTACTTCCAGCTCCCTTGTCTTATGTAAATGCAACTGTTGCTGCTCCCTGCACCTGGCTTCCTGGTGTTATGGAGATGTACCTTCTCCCAAGCTGTAGCCCTGCGTTTTCCCATGGACCCCAATTCTAAAAACTCCCTAAGCCTGCATCTATTCCCCTAAAATTCCTGTTTCAATAGAAAGCCCTGAACAGGGGGAAAGAAAAAAAAGATGAAGAAATAAAGTATGAAATTTACTCACCATATATAATTAAGGCAATCAAAATGAAACTAATTACAAGTAATCCAATAGTTGACACCTTATACTTGTTAATACCTGAAAAACAGCAAAAAAATATTTTTAGATTAAGAAACAGCTACAAGAAAAACTAAAGTTTGTACTCATAACTGTTTCTAAAAACCTCTATAGGCAATTTTATTCTGCTACTTCACAAGGAAATGACACAAAACAATTTTTTTCCTGTTTGTCATATGAGAAAAAAATTCTGATTTTTATTTTGTTGCTTGAAATTTTTCAGGACATCTTTATATCCAATTCAAGTGTTACCATGGATTTCACTGTAATAGTCCAAGGAATCAAAGATGTATGTGTCTTTAGGCCAGAATTTCCTCAGGCCTGGAGCCACTCCCAGACCTTCACTACCTTTTCTCTATGGCAGTGATTTTTCAACCTTATTCATCTCATGGCACATATAAACTAACTACTAAAATGCTGCGGCACACTAGAAAATATATTTTTTGCTGATCTGACAAAAATAGGTATAATTTTGATTCATTTACAGCAGATGGATATTGTTGATTGTTGTCAGTTTTTTTATTTGACAATTTAAGGAAAAAGAGGTCAGTGACCCTGGCTAAATAGTCAGGTATTGCATATTTTAAAGGTACTTGTAGCACACCAGTGTGCCATGGCACACTACTTGAAAATCACTGCTTTATGGTAAAGTATCAGGACATCCTAACATTCTTTTAATGTTTCTAAGAAAATCTACTTTCCAACTAATGAAAAGTTTATTTTAAACTGTAGACTGAATAGCATATTTGAAAAGTCATAGAATAATCAATCAAAAGATTTGGGATTATAATTTTTACCACAAGCAAGCAATGGGAACTTGGATAAGTCATTATTTTTTTCTGGCTGTATGTATTTCCTCATTGGCAAAATCAGTAGAACACAACTCATCTCTGACCAGAAATTGTTTTTCTTTTATTAGTGCCCATTTTGGGAGAAAAATGGTACATAACTTTTTAAAAATGAAAAAATTTTATTTTACATGATTATAAACTATCCTTATTGTAAATTTAAAAAAATTATAAAAGTTACCTTAAGGTAGACTATAAACATTGAGAGTGTTTATTATTCCTGTTTTTTCACCTAGTAAAGAACTATTCTTTTGTTGAATACTTTTTTCCAGAGTATATGTATTAAAAATAGTATTTACTAGTAAAATGCATCCATATGTACACTACTTAGACAAAATTAGCATTCTCATTTGAGTTAACATCCTTCCATCTATGTATCTCTAATTCTATTTTCACACATATAACCTCTCTCCAAAATACACATAATCTTAAATGAGTACAATTATCATGTACCCATTGTTGTGTAATTTAATATTTTCAGTTAATGTGTTCTTACTACTGTGGCACACTGTTTAAAAGGGCGCCCAATGAATTGTTCCTCCTGTGTCTACCATCCCTTGCACACATGATCTTGCTACTTCTCCCATCAAGAAGTACAGTGTATTTCCTAACACTTGAGTGTGAATTGGCTTTGTGCCTTGCTTTGCCCAATAAGATATGGTAGAAATGACAGTCTAGCACAGCGGTTCTCAACCCGTGGGTCGTGACCCCTTTGGCAGTCGAACAACCCTTTCACAGGGGTCGCCTAAGACCATCCTGCATATCAGGTATTTACATTATGATTCATAACAGTAGCAACATTACAGTTATGAAGTAGCAAAGAAAATAATTTTATGGTTGGGTCACAACATGAGGAACTGCATTTAAAGGGCCAGAAGGTTGAGAACCACTGGTCTAGCACATTAGAGCCCATGCCTGAAAAGATATTTCAATTTCTATTTTCAGTTGTCTAGAGCCCAGTCACTGTCTTAAAAAATGAGACAGAGAGAGAGAAAGAGAAAGAGTATATAGTGGATAAACAGCTGAATCCAATCACTAAGGCTTAAATTTGTGAGTGATGACTTAAATCTGTGAGTGAAGACATTTGGATCCTCAGTCCCTGCCCAAATATAGCAGTTGGTATAACATGGAGATGAGCCATTTCACAGAATCTTGTCCACATTCCTAACCCATAGAACCACCAGCACTAATGAGAAGGCTAAAAGGCTAATTCCAATGTAACCCTGATATTTGGGGGGCTAGCAATCTGAATCTGTGCCAGCAATCTAATGTACATTATTGATAACCTATAATTAAGTCATTACCCCTTTCTCCACAAACTGGTCTTGCAAGACCTATTACGTAAATGCTCACATTTTACAGAGACCATAAACCATGAACAGCACACAGTCCCCAGAGAGGGGTTATCAGCACTGGTGCCAGGCCAGGCCCTTAGGTATGGTCTCAGGACCCCCAACACCTGGGGCTTTTTGCAAAGCCTGTGAAAGTTCCTGAAGTATAATCCATATTTGGAGGACAAAGACACCAAAAGGAGATAATAGAGTGTCTTCCACCATATTGGTTGGGTCAGAATTTGAGAGGCAACCTCCTCTGAGTCCGCCAGCATAATAAAGCTGTGTAACTCCATTTCTCTAAGCGTTGCTTGGTTTTTCTCTGGTCTTCTACAACACTATCATGATTGTTGTTTTAAGCCACTAAAACTTTGGGGTGGTTGTTCATTCAGAGCAACAGATAAATTTATCCACTATGCAAAAGTGTAATTTTACATCACAATTTTAATGTCTGATAAAACTTTTTTATATGGCTATGCCATTAGAATAAACATTAATCCTCTTCTTATGGATCTTTAAGTTGGGTCATTCCTTTTTCTTTCAACCAGAACTAAATAAGTATAGGTTAAATGTATTTTTTCATACTTATCTAATTATCTTTTTAAGATAAAATTTTAAAAATAAATAAGTTGATATATGTTGGTTAAATATTTTTCCAAAAGTATGGTACTAATTTAAATTATCATGAGCAATACATGAAAATACTAGTACCAATAAAAATTCAAAATAAAATAATTTTTAAAGAGTACCATAAGGAGGGAAAAGAAATGTAGGAAAAGAATATCAGCATTGTTTCTGAGCCACCCAACTGTTATTTAACTATTTGAGAAATATAATTATGGAGTAGGGTCTAATCTTGTAGATTTCTTCCAAATTTCTGAAATGCCTGTCATTAGCTGTGCATTTCTTCTTCCTATCCAGAATTTCAAAGTTACACAATAAGCATGAACTATAGTATCTGCAATGCTTCACCTTTGAACCAGCACTGTTTATTTATTCTTTCATCCTTTAACAAATGTTAAGTCACCTACCATGTGCTAGTTTCCATTAATGCAATAGTAAGCAAGAAAGACCTAATGCATGCATGCTCTCCTGGAAGATACATTTGGAAAAGACTGACAAACTGATAAAAACTAATTTAAAAATTACAATTTGAAACAAAAATGAGAAAGGCAATAAACAGGGTCCTCTGAATTGATAAGGGGGGAGAGCCTAAAAAACATAGCTAGGAGGGTCACTCTGGGGAAATGATGTTAAAACCAAGACCTAAAATATGAGCAGTGGCCAGGTACACAAAATCTTGCAAGGCACTTGGCCCTGTCTAAAAATTCCACAATGCCCTGGCCAGTGTGCCTCCGTGTTTAGAGCATGGGCCCATGCACCGAAGGGTGGCAGGTTTGATTCCTGGTCAAGAACATGAACCGTACCTGGATTTCTGGTTCTATCCTCAGCCCCAGCCAGGTCCTGGGTGAGGCAACCAACAAATGTTCTCTCACATCGATATTTCTCTCTCTCTCTCTCTCTCTCTCTCTCTCTCTCTCTCTCTCTCCCCCTCTCTCTAAAAATCAATGGGAAAAATATCATCCTGTGAGGATTAACATAAATAAATAAATGAATACATCAATCCATCCATCTATCCATGCAACATAAATACATAAAAATAAAACATCCACAAAGACATTTTAGTCTGTACCCAAATGTCCTTGATAGTTGACCCTGTCCAAAATGTCCAGAGCATATTTGGCCTTCACCAAATCCACAAGTGGTCCTTGATACTTGTCTAAAATGCCCATGCTTAAGAAAACATCCCTGGGTTCAAATAGCCCATAATATTTATTTCTACTTTGGGTTTACAGAATTAATACTTTAAAATATGATCATGTTTTGTTGGTCCAACAATTGTGTTGTGGCTGCGCTGCCGATAATAAGCCTCCCTGTTCTGGTAGCTTTAGATAGATGGGTCTGGGTTCAAATCTTTCAGATGAGCAGGATTTATGTTAACTATGGACCACATGTTTTCCATGAACTTTTTGGACATTAATCAAATGAAATAAACAAGAGAAAACATTTCAAGCAACAAGTACAGCAAGTGCAGGTGCCTTGAATCAGGAAAAAGATTAAAAGTATGCAGCAAAGAACAATATAACAAGCGTGACTAGGTAAGAGTAAAGGAGCTAAATGATGTTAAGCTTTGAAGGCGCTGAAAAATAACTTGATTTTCTTTTAAGTATAATGGGAAGCCATTGAATTTTTAAATATGTGTTTGGCATTACTAAATTCGTGTTTTTAAAAGTTCTCTATTACCATTGGGGGGCGCGCACGTACAGTGCGATTGAAACTTTGTGGCCCATGCACAGAAGTCGGTATTTTATGGAAGAGCCACACTCAAGGGGCCAAAGAGCTGCATGTGGCTCGCGAGCTGCAGTTTGCTGACCACTGATCTAGAGTAAAGGGATAAATTGCAGATGCCTGCAAGAGGGGAATGAAATCATTAAATTAAAAAGAATTCTTGCCTAGGCTAGAGGGTTGTGGTCTAAAGTACAAATGAAGGGATTGTTCCTAGTAAGACCCTGTCTCCAATGTAGCAAAGGTCAAAAAGAGGAGAAACAGGACATACATCTGTCTTTTCAGCCTTTTTTGGTGCTGTATATGGATGGCGCAGTTCAGAACTTGAGTCCAGGCTTTTAATCACCTTTCAAATATCATCTCATTAATTTATTTAATTTCTTATTAGTTTTCTTCAAATATTAGGTATCCTGGAAACAAATACTTGTTTCCCCTTTTTCTATGCCATCAGTCAAGTCAATTTGATGGTAGTCTGTTTATCTGTCCATGGACTGGT